AATTTAACTCACCCGTTTTTAGCGAACTCCACATAAATTTCCACATATCGTTTTACCAACGCAGCCTCTGCCGACGATTTGGAATATCCATCCGGTGCTATTACTTGCGAGGTGAAAAGATATAATGAATCATCGCCGTGGGTAGTCCCAAAGTCTTTTGTGCTACCCGTAAACAGCTCTGAATATGAGTAAGGCCCACGATAATTGAACAGTATATATCCTTCAGGAATTGTTCCATTACTAGATTCCACATTATCGGCAATTGCTTTGTATGCTGGATACACGAAGTAGGAATCACCTAAAAGCTACGTAGAGGGAATAAGATATTTATTTCAACAACAGCTTTCATAAACTACCTCTAAGAAACCATCCAATGTGTCATTATTCAACTCTCGAACTCCACCCATATATTCTGCCACTAAACGTTCTACCACATCGTTGACCTCATTCGATTCGTCAGCAGGCAAATTTGTGAGTAGCTTAAATAAGTCATCAAAGTTTTCGTTAAACTCAGCTTGCAAATCCGCAGCAGCAGCAAGTTTTGTAGCTACGATGATGCCTTCGCCTTTCGACGGTGTATCACCTGCAATCCATGGCACTGTCTTCGGCGGCTCTTTATCGAGTAATTCACGCACGTTGGTTGTTAAAAATGGCTCAGGCCACGATGCCTCTTCAATGGTGGGTCGAAAACTTATGAAAGGATAGATGGACCAAATTTTCAATGCATCGCAAGCTTCCATCAATTGCTCTGCCGGTAAATTACGCAAAGCATTAGCAAGTTCTATAGAAGATATGTTGGAAGCATTTGTAATTCCAGCAGCTGTGGCTAATTGAATGGCTTGCGCCTTTTGGTCAATTGGCTGTGCCCAAACCGTATTTGCAACACCACTAATTGGAACAGCATTACGAAATAAGCCTTTAAATTGACAAAACATTGCATTATAATTTTTTGTTTATTAATAATGAAACAAAAAGGAATACCTTGTGAAGCAGGGCTTAGCATATGAAAATGGACAGACACACCGCCAGCACTATGACCGAAAATGGTAACACGCGAAGGATCACCACCGAATGCGGATATATACGATTGCACCCATTTCAAGGCTAAATTTTGATCCTTTAATCCAAAATTGCCAGTCATGTGCTCATCACCACTACTTAGAAAACCTGAAAAAGTTTCGTTAAAGCAGTGAATTCAATGAGTCTTTGGCGCTTGGGAATAAACAAATCGCACGATCGATCGTTAAGTACATAAATGGATACCAATACTCACCAAATGGACCCAAACGATAAGCAATGGTCACCAATATAACCTCGTTCGTATCCATAAAATATTCAGGACCATAAAATTCACGATTTGGAGTGCCGAAAATGAAATCACCACCGTGTATATAAATCAAGACAGGCAGTTTTTCATCAGAACTATTCTGAAAGTAGAAAATTTCAATGTAGTTAATTGCATTTGTAGATAGAAAAAAAAAATGATTAGCTTCTAACTGCAATTGAAATAAAAAGTTAAGGTGCGGTTAAACGTGGCAATGCGAGCGCTTTTTTAAGCATTTTGCTGTCAAAATGTGGAAATCGAAAGTCTACTTTCCCGTGTAAACAGTCAGAAAGTCCTTTTTGCGGATTTGCAGAAATCACTTTCGGCAATAAAAATTGCAAGGTGTAACTGCAACTTAAATTACGCAAATCGTTTCGAGAAATAATTTCAGCTTGCAAGTGCTGTCAAACCAATCGAGTGTTGCCGTGTGACGCGTTTTTTGGCGAATTTGCAAAAATGTGTAAAGATGTTGATTAAAATATGAAAAAATACATATAATTCATTTATTCTACTGATATGGAGTATTTAAGTATTATTGTATTAGGCATCTTGTGATTCTTTTGTGTACATTTTAGCAGGTTTAGTAAATTTTTCAGGTCATTAATTTTGTTATAAACATTAAAACGTCTGGTAACATAGTTTAAAGTGAACTTGTCTGTATTCACCGTGTAAACAGATAAAATTAGTATT